ACTCAATTAAAAGACAAAATTGTACTTGTACAGTTAAACTGATATGTCATCTGGGTGTATATACAGAGGTGTGTGAATGTCATTTGAATGTTTTACCGGAAACAGACCTAAACTACACACAATATTCTGTTTATGATGCAAACCAGCGAATGGTTAACACATTTTTTAACAGTGTAAGGGGGACAATTATAACGACTATTGGAGGTTAAACATTATCTGAAATATTGACTGGATGTTACAGATTATCTGAACTATTTATTTGAAGTTATAGATTATCTGGAATATCGATTGGGGGTTAAAGATTATCTGGAATATCGATTGGGGGTTAAAGGTTATCTGAAATATTGATTGGAGGTTATAGATTATCTGGAATACTGTAGCTGTCAATCGTTTTGACAGTTGTTGTCAGTTTCATAGTTTGGTAAGTTACCACAACTGAGTGGACTCAGGACTTCCTTCCCTGGAGTCTCTGACCCGAACTCAAGACATTCAGGCTAGCAGTCGCGCGAAATAAATGCTTCTGTCTATATGCAACAAACATTTTTACTGGCTATAAACTTGTGTCATTAGTTCTGTTATAGTTACAGCAGTACAGAATAAAGCTATAAACTTGTGTCATTAGTTATGTTGTATTTACAGCAGTACAGAATAAAGCTGTAAACTTGTATAATTAGTTATGTTGTAGTTACAGCAGTACAGAATAAAGCTGTAAACTTGTATAATTAGTTATGTTGTATTTACAGCAGTACAGAATAAAGCTATAAACTTGGGTAATTAGTTATGTTGTAGTTGCAGCAGTACGGAATAAAGCTGTAAACATGTGTCAGTAGTTATGTTATAGTTAGAACAGTACAGAATAAATTGTAACATGTCTGGAACTGAGGCATGCTAAAATATCTTTTTATCTCAGCTACCAGCGTGTTAGTGGAAGTAAAGTAAACGTGTACGTCTCTAATTTAAATACCATTGAATTGATCAAATTCTAAAGTCACTAATTCAAATACCATTGAATTGATCAAGTTCTAAATTCACTAATTCAAACACCATTGAATTGATTCAGTTCTAAAGTCACTAATTCAAACACCATTGAATTGATCAAGTTCTAAATTCACTAATTCAAACACCATTGAATTGATTCAGTTCTAAAGTCACTAATTCAAACACCATTGAATTGATTCAGTTCTTAAGTCACTAATTCAAACACCATTGAATTGATTCAGTTCTAAAGTCACTAATTCAAACACCATTGAATTGATCAAGTTCTAAAGTCACTAATTCATCCTGGCCTCATGAATTCGATAGGTCATCTTGACCTGTCTGTAATTATTGTGTGGGGATGGAGCAGGTGCGAACTTGTCCCGCCTTGATCAGAGAAATAAGCCCGCACCTCATCAAGGCATTATGCACGCCTTTCATGTTTAGATGGGCATGTTTTAAAGCCATTTGAATCTCTTGATTCCTGCGTTGATAACCTGAGACTTCAGTAGAGACGGTAACTCGAGAGCTCAATTGCGTTTGAAGCACGAGAACTAGGCATGCAGATTTAAATGTAACTTCTTTACATCAGCAACATCCTACATTCAGACAGCAACATCCTACACCCAGACAGCAACATCATACACACAGACAGCAACATCCTACATCCAGACAGCAACATCCTACATCGAGACAGCAACATCTTACACCCAGACAGCAACATCCTACATCCAGACAGCAACATCACACATCCAGACAGCAACATCCTACATGCAGATAATACGAAGCCAACACTCAAACAAGTAATTAAAAAAGTCAAGTGACAATTTTAGCGCAATTTCCTTATGTTATCTAAAAATAGCTTTGTCGTAGCGTAAATCAAGAGCAGGGTTAGTAAAACCATTGGTTAGTTATTAAAACGTTTTTATTAAATTTTTTTCGGTATTTTACATGTTTTATTTACAATAGAATAACATGAATAAAAACCATTGCGCGCCTAGCTACCGAACGTGATGTCGCAGCCATTGAACGTGATGGCGCAGCTATTGAACGTGATGACGCGTGTGGTGTGGTTGAATAAAATGCCTACTAATTCGGTCCAAATTTTAATTAATTCAAAAAATTTTTTGTGACCGAACGAAAGGATATTTTTGAAAACTTTCTTCTGCAATATTGTTCTAAATTATGGCAGGAATCAAGTGGTACATATTTCAAGTCGCAAAGTGGTCTGGTTGCCGATATATGGGCCAAAAACGGCATTTTTTCGAGGTTTTTTGACTTTTCCGGGAAATCCATGATAGAAACTCGGAATTTTTATGGCCTATGTTTATCCTCGTAACTTGCTTAACAAAATTGCTTTGGAACTAGTCCTCGATATTGCTTCGTTGAGGAGGAGATACGACTTAAAGCTGCGGACACACATCCATCCATCCATTAATCCATCCATCCATTCCCAGAAATGACGAGTTAATAAACGCAATTCTCCAGAATGGAAATTGCGCTAAAAATTTTTTTTTCCAGAAACTAACTTCAGTTTGCACCAAACAAATTTGTGTAAGTAGCTACGAAACAAAAGCGTGCCTCGCTTCAGATCTATCATGTATCACAGTTGTACTCATTTCAATTTGAATCATCTTTAACATTTAACATTGTATTTATTTAAATGACAGCTTTAACAAAACGAATGATGAATATGAAGATTTATCGCAAGAAGTTCGTCGTCCACTTCCTGTTGTCGGTGACGTCCCTGACCTTGGTCCAGTTACCGGCGTCAGATGGCACTCTCTACTGGTCACGTGACGATTTATTTACACTGAGGGGCAACTACACCTGGGGCTCCAGCATCAAAAAGACATGCTTCACTGAGCAGGAGAAGAATTTGAACCTACAGATCAGTAACGCCTACATGAGTATGGTGTTTCCTAGAGCTGTTGGGATGAAGGAGTTGGTGAGTGGGGTCTTTGTGTGGGGGTCTATGTGTGGGGGCCATCAGGGATGTTGTGGTTTTTGTATGTAGGTTGCGTTGGTCTATGTGTAGGAGCGGTGTGGGTCTTTGTGTTGTCGGTACGGGTGTCGCTTGGGACATAGATCTAGTCTAGATCTAGATAGATAAATCACTTGCATTCTTGAATTAGATGATCCGTGAATCTAAAACGCAAAGATTTATGTCTATATCAAATATTTAAGGACTAAAATAGTTTAATAAAGAATCTCAATAATGTATTCTGATTTTAAAAGTCTTTTTAATTTTAAAAATTAATTTTGGGTTTACCTAGATTCTAGATCTATACATAGCTCCCTTCGACAGCCGATATTTAGATTCTAGATCTAGATGTCTAGAGAAATTTATTGTACGAGCCGACCCGCGGCATATCATATGCTGCTATTTAGTTTTTAGCGCAATTTCCATTCTGGAGAATTGCGTTTATTAACCCGTCATTTCTGGATGTATGAATGAATGGATGGATGGATGGATGGATGTGTGTCCGCAGCTTTAAGTCGTATCTCCTCCTCAACGAAGCAATATCGATGACTAGTTCCAAAAGCAATTATGTTAAGCAAGTTACGAAGATGAACATAGGCCATAAAAATTCCGGGTTTCTTTCATGGATTTCCCGGAAAAGCCAAACAACCTCGAAAAAAAGCAGTTTTTGACTCATATCTCGGCAACCAGATTACTTAGCGACTTGAAACATGTACCAATCGATTCCAGCCATAATTTTGAACAATATTGCCGAAGAAAGTTTTCAAAAATATCCTTTCGTTCGGTCACAACTTTTTTTTTAATTAATTAAAATTTGAACCGAATTAGTAGGCATATTTATCCAACCACACCACACGCGTCATCACGTTCAATAGCTGCGCCATCACGTTCAATGGCTGCGCCATCACGTTCAGTAGGCGCGCAATGGTTTTTAGTCATGTAACTCTATTGTAAATAAAACATGTAAAATACTGAAAATTTTTTTTAATAAAAAACGTTTTAATAACTAACCAATGGTTTTACTAACCCTGCTCTTGATTTACGCTATGACAGAGCTATTTTTAGATAACATAAGGAAATTGCGCCTAAATGTCACTAGACTTTTTAATTAACTTGTTTTTATTTTCTACGTTTCAGTAATTCATAATTTGTGAATTCGACAGTACCAATGCTGCCAATGAAAATATTTGCTTTAAAACACTAGATCGTTAAGAACGATACTACCCCCACCCTTCTTTCCCCCAACCCCTACCCACACTCTCCTTTCCCCCAACCCCTACCCTACACCCCCCCCCCGTGAAAGCAGCCTCCTCTTAGTTACCTCCCCATAGTTTAAAATCGTTTCAAACTAAATTATCTGCCCCTTATAGCCGTCACTAAACCCGGCTACGAATGTAAACATTTAGCGTGAACCACAGCTCACCAGACCATGTAGGGGTGGGGTGGTAGGGAGCGCGCTTACAGCTTGTTTTCTAGTGTCTCCCAGAAGAGAATTATATATATAGATACTAAAATAATTACTATTTTACAGCTCTAGTGCAGATTCTCTCCTGTAACCAAATGGACAAAAAAAATCAAACATGTAATAGATAGAATATAGATATAGATAATCTCAGCGACAAAATCGTTGAGCCTCTATCCAATTGTGTCGATAAGAATAAAACCCTTTGGTGGTTTCTCAGTCGACAGAGTCGTTGAGAATAAAACTGACTCTCCATGATAGCAAAGCATAAAGAATAGGTGATCTGAAGACAAGATTCCAGCCATTTTGTTTTGACGAAACATAAAAGCTTGTTATTAAAACGTTTTTATGAAATTTTTATCCGTGTCGGATTTTTATTCATGTCGGTTTTTAAGATGTCGGCCTAGTGCAATGAGTCTATCTTTTTCTAGGGGTACAATAGTTGTATCAACACAGAAGTATGTACGAAGCACGTGCACCACCCTCAACCCCCCCCCCCCCCCACCTCCCCGCAGACCCATCTGACCTCCCACGAAATGACGCTGACACCCCTAAACAAACTGGACAAGACGTGAAGTCTACGATGTGATGTTTATTGTAACAAGAACAGTTTGTAGATATTGAAAGAATTTTTTTTTAAATTGCCACGAAATGATTATATGACCATCGTGTATGTAAATCAAATAAATTACGAATAGTGAACACATAAATATTGTTAGAGAAAGTTTAACAGAAACTTGATACGAATGATGTCATTCTTTCAATAGCTGGCGGCTTGTGTTGTTGACCATCTACAGAAGCCCAGTGACGCCCACATAATGTGACCATCTACTGAAGCCCAGTGACGCCCACATAATGTGACCATCAACTACAGGCCAGTGACGCCCACATTGTGTGACCATCTACTGAAGCCCAGTGACGCCCACATAATGTGACCATCTACTGAAGCCCAGTGACGCCCACATTGTGTGACCATCAACTGAAGCCCAGTGACGCCTACATAATGTGACCATCTACAGAAGCCCAGTGACGCCCACATAGTGACCATCTACTGCAGCCCAGTGACGCCCACGTTGTGTGACCATCTACTGAAGCCCAGTGACGCCCACATAATGTGACCATCTACTGAAGCCCACTGACGCCCACATGGTGTGACCATCTACTGAAGCCCAGTGACGCCCACGCTGTCTGTGCTTCCGTCGTATCCAGTGTTGTATTTCCTCATATTAGGCGAGACTAAAAGATGAGACACAAACACATTTTACTGAAAAGCCAATTTCAACACATATAACTTCTATTTTAGCTTCTACTTATTACAGATTATATTTACAAGAGTGGCGATGGGGCATCTAATGATAACTATATCCAACGATGATTAGATGTTCTACAGTGACCTTGCTACTATATACCCAGTGGCTGTACAGATACAGCTATAGAAATATAACACACTACCACACACTACCACACACTACCACACACAACCAAACACGACCACACACTACCACATTGTACCACACACTACCACATACTACCACATTTTACTAAACACTACCACACTACCACATACTATCACACACTACCACAAACTATCACACACTATCACATACTACCACACACTACCACACACTACCACACACTACCACACACTACCACATACTACCACATACTACCACACAATCACATACTCTACTGACCCACGTCTTGCTACAAAAATAAAACAAAGACTGTACTTGGCACAAATCTCGTGCAACAAACCGGAAGTGCTAATTGTACTCACTGCATAGACCGTGCCTGCAGTACTGGAAGCTGTACCCGGAACCTCCACACGCTGAGCATCTCTCTCCCACCTCGTACGGCCGCGCATCCTCAAAGTATCTGTGGAGGGGACAATGACGTGTTAGCTCTCTAGTACGTACGCGTTAATACAAAGACTATTTCAAGCTGACAAAAATATCTTGTCCGGTATTAGGCTACATAGGTTTGTCGAGCTACTTAAGTACAATAAAAGCATCGCATCTTTTCAGTAAATTTTGGGACTTGTTGCCCAAGATAATATCAGGGGAAAATGTAATACACTCTTAGTGTCTTTTTTATTTATACTTATTGTAATCAATAATTTACGACTTTGGTTTGACTATGAAACAAATTTTTAAACTGGTCAATTATTTTGACAACTTGACAGCATCTATAATATAAGCGGCCAAGTAGTGTGTGTCAGTCCTTCCTTCCGTCATCGCTATAGATTTTGGAACCATAAAAGTAAATATCGCACCTTGAAGTGCTTTTCAGTGCATCGCAGTGTGTAATAAAGTTGGGTTTGTTTATATAACGACATAAATTTATTTTATAGTTGCCACTGCTTTTACTCTTTTGCATAACGTAAAGAAAATAGTAAATACACGCACATTGCTAAACATATTAAAATGATCAATGTCAAATATCATTTTTGTTTATATTCCTAGAAAAAGTGGATACATTTAAATAACATAATAACAGTAGGGTAGAAAAATCTAATTAAACTGTTTAGTAATTTTGCCAAGGGAGGTAATTTTAAAATAAATTCAACTCTTGTTAAAAAATGTGAATGCAAAATCTCCAAGACGGACTAACTATTGTAATAATATAATTAGCAAAATGTGAATGCAAATTATGTAGACGTGTAAGAGTACATTATTGTTGGAATATTATCATTAGCATTGATTGGTAAAATGCTAGCTTTTACTTATTTATTCACTGAACGTACAATTTTACTAATTATAATTTTTAATCAACTATTCCCCCATCATTATATAAAGTCATCACGTTCATTTGGTGAGCAATGGTTTTAGTCATAAAAAATTATTGTAAATTTTTAAAAGTACTGAAAAAATGCTTGAATTTATAAAGTGCAATTTGGTCGGTAAAACACGGATATTCTAAATACTGGCTTTTATTTATTTTAAACACTTAACGTACTCTTTACTAATTATTATTCTATCTTTCGGTTTGCGGACAAGCTAGGGGTTTTGTAGCAGAGGCGTAGCGAGGGGGGAGGGGGAACATATGTCCCCGGGCGCCAAGATGGAAATTTTTTTTTAAATTTGCGGAAGGGGGGGGGGAGGGAAAAGAAAGGTTGGGGGTGGGGGGGGGGTGAAAATCGAAAGTTTGAAGGGGGGATTCCCTATCAAAATTTTGAGGGCGGGGGTGCAATTCGACAGTCTGCAAATCGAAGTTTGAGGGGGTGGGGTGGAAATTGAGAGTTTGAGGGGAGGGGGTTGCAAATCGAAAGTTTGTCCCCGGGAAGGTTCGCTACGCCTCTGTTTTATAGTCATTCAATGAGTAAGACGCGTCCGCCAGCGCTCAGAAAGGGGCGCGATTTGGCGCTACGGGCTAGACTGTGAGCAATATGCCTTTGCATTTAAATTGTGTTTATGTTATCAGTGTTGTGTTTGTTTTTTCGTATGAGTTTTTTTTTTTTTTTTGCGTTCGTTTGTATTGTGTTTAGTTTTGTTCTGTTCCCAAGTTGGTACATTTAAAAAAGATTTACCTTGGCAGAGCACAGGTATGCAGCTAGTCTATACTATGTGAAGACATGAAGATATTACCAAGTCACGACACGACATCACGACACGACATCACGACACGACATCACGACACGACACGACATCACGACACGACATCACGAAACGACATCACGACACGACATCAAAACACGACATCACGACACGACACGACATCACGACACGACACGACATCACGACACGACACGACATCACGACACTACATCACGACACAACACGACATCACGACACAACATCACGACACGGCATGGTATCATAATGATGTAATCTTTGAATGAAATTGCTGGTTAAATTCTTGGAGCAGAGTTCTCGACTTACCGGGCATCAAACAAGCAGGCTATAAAGATGGCGGGGGTTGGGTACGTGCTTTTGCTGAAGTGTTGGCATTTGTTGAGGGCACACCCCACCCTGTGGGCCTTGGCTGTCGTTATCTGTCAATCATGATTGTATGGTCAATCGCAGCAATATCAATAATGATTGAGTGATCTATCTCAGCAATAACAATCATGATTGCATTGTCTAACTGTAACACTAATCATGTTTGATAATCTATATAAGTAAGCATCAATTAAGATTGCATGCTCTGTTTTATTAATTTTAAGCATGATTGCATGAACTATCATAGTAGCATCGCAACTTAAATATTATTCTAACACACATTCAGGTCATTACACCTTACACCTAACCTGGTCAATCACCTTACATGATCCTTACATTCTGAAGTAGGCCCATGTATCTTACTCTGACCACTACAACCGTTATAAGCTACTCACCACTTGATAGTGACCACATGTATATTTATGTGTACATTTTGGCTCGTTGATGTCGTAATCTTTGCCTTCATTCCAAAACATCCAAAAGGCTTCCTCGATGCTATATTTAGAACCTACATTCAAAACAAAAGGAAAACTATTTTTATTTCTAATGTTTTTTTCATAAACCAGCACCTAATACATTCCTTCCTCATACAATTCAAAACATAGTTGTTGGTCTGTTTACTCTCCGGAGTATGGTAGGTCTACCAATCTATCAAGCAGCTATCGTTTGTTTACCAATCTATCAAGCAACTATGGCAGGTCTAACAATCTATTCCAACCACCATGATTGTAGTAGGTCGCCCCCCCCACCCCCGGGACTTTACCCACCATGATTGTAGTAGAGTGCCTCCCCCACCCCCGGGACTTTACCCACCATGATTGTAGTAGAGTGCCTCCCCCACCCCCGGGACTCCACCCACCATGATTGGAGTAGAGTGCCTCCCCCACCCCCGGGACTTTACCCACCATGATTGTAGTAGAGTGCCTCCCCCATGTAGTCCCACACCTTCCAGGTGTGAGGTTTTTTTTTCATCCACTTTTTGGTCATGTTCCTGTGACTGTGGGTGCCAATACATTTCTGGGTCCAGTCTTTGGCGAACTCCTCCAGGTCTTCGTCCCACATCTGAAAACATGGGAATTATAAACTTAAACCACAGCTGAAAACATGGGAATTATAAACTTAAACCACAGCTGCAAACATGGGAATTATAAACTTAAACCACAGCCGAAAACATGGGAATTAAAAGCTTAAACCATAGCTACAAACATGGGAATTATAAACTTAAACCACAGCCGAAAACATGGGAATTAAAAGCTTAAACCACAGCTACAAACATGGGAATTATAAACTTAAACCACAGCCGAAAACATGGGAATTAAAAGCTTAAACCACAGCTACAAACATGGGAATTATAAACTTAAACCACGGCTGCAAACATGGGAATTATAAACTTAAACCACGGCTGCAAACATGGGAATTATAAACTTAAACCACAGCTGAAAACATGGGAATTATAAACTTAAATTACAGCTGCAAACATGGGAATTAAAAACTTAAACCACAACTGCAAACATGGGAATTATAAACTTAAGTCACAGCTAGAAATATGAGAATAAATAAACGTATGTCAAAGCTTAAACTAGAGCTAAACCATAGCTAAAACCACAGCTAAAACCACAGCTAAATCCTAAGCAAAAACCACACATACTGACTCAGGACATACTATTACCAAACTATCCCTAAAAATACTGAGGTTACATGAACAGGTGAACTCTACTTCACTTGCCACGTCAGGTACCAAATCGGAACCTTATTATAATCTGATGATATAAAACATGTCAACAAAAACAAAATAAACACACAAACGACTGACGCTATAAACAATGCTAACCAAACCACTACAACACTTGCCACAGCCACGACTGATGCTATAGAAGAACACTACAACACTTGCCACACACACGACTGATGCTATAGAAGAACACTACAACACTTGCCACAGACACGACTGATGCTATAGAAGAACACTACAACACTTGCCTTACACACGACTGATGCTATAGCAGAACACTACAACACTTGCCACAGACACGACTGATGCTATAGAAGAACACTACAACACTTGCCACAGACACGACTGATGCTATAGAAGAACACTACAACACTTGCCACAGACACGACTGATGCTATAGAAGAACACTACAACACTTGCCACAGACACGACTGATGCTATAGAAGAACACTACAACACTTGCCACAGACACGACTGATGCTATAGAAGAACACTACAACACTTGCCACAGACACGACTGATGCTATAGAAGAACACTACAACACTTGCCACAGACACAACTGATGCTATAGAAGAACACTACAACACTTGCCACAGACACGACTGATGCTATAGAAGAACACTACAACACTTGCCACATACACGACTGATGCTATAGAAGAACACTACAACACTTGCCACATACACGACTGATGCTATAGAAGAACACTACAACACTTGCCACAGACACGACTGATGCTATAGAAGAACACTACAACACTTGCCACAGACACGACTGATGCTATAGAAGAACACTACAACACTTGCCACAGACACGACTGATGCTATAGAAGAACACTACAACACTTGCCACAGACACGACTGATGCTATAGAAGAACACTACAACACTTGCCACAGACACGACTGATGCTATAGAAGAACACTACAACACTTGCCACAGACACGACTGATGCTATAGAAGAACACTACAACACTTGCCACAGACACGACTGATGCTATAGAAGAACACTACAACACTTGCCACAGACACGACTGATGCTATAGAAGAACACTACAACACTTGCCACAGACACGACTGATGCTATAGAAGAACACTACAACACTTGCCACAGACACAACTGATGCTATAGAAGAACACTACAACACTTGCCACAGACACGATTGATGCTATAGAAGAACACTACAACACTTGCCACAGACACGACTGATGCTATAGAAGAACACTACAACACTTGCCACAGACACGACTGATGCTATAGAAGAACACTACAACACTTGCCACAGACACGACTGATGCTATAGAAGAACACTACAACACTTGCCACAGACACGACTGATGCTATAGAAGAACACTACAACACTTGCCTTACACACGACTGATGCTATAGCAGAACACTACAACACTTGCCACAGACACGACTGATGCTATAGAAGAACACTACAACACTTGCCACAGACACGACTGATGCTATAGAAGAACACTACAACACTTGCCACAGACACGAATGATGCTATAGAAGAACACTACAACACTTGCCACAGACACGACTGATGCTATAGAAGAACACTACAACACTTGCCACAGACACGACTGATGCTATAGAAGAACACTACAACACTTGCCACAGACACGAATGATGCTATAGAAGAACACTACAACACTTGCCACAGACACGACTGATGCTATAGAAGAACACTACAACACTTGCCACAGACACGACTGATGCTATAGAAGAACACTACAACACTTGCCACAGACACGACTGATGCTATAGAAGAACACTACAACACTTGCCACAGCCACGACTGATGCTATAGAAGAACACTACAACACTTGCCACAGACACGACTGATGCTATAGAAGAACACTACAACACTTGCCACAGACACGACTGATGCTATAGAAGAACACTACAACACTCGCTACAGACACGACTGATGCTATAGAAGAACACTACAACACTTGCCACAGACACGACTGATGCTATAGAAGAACACTACAACACTTGCCACAGACACGACTGATGCTATAGAAGAACACTACAACACTTGCCACATACACGACTGATGCTATAGAAGAACACTACAACACTTGCCACATACACGACTGATGCTATAGAAGAACACTACAACACTTGCCACAGCCACGACTGATGCTATAGAAGAACACTACAACACTTGCCACAGACACGACTGATGCTATAGAAGAACACTACAACACTTGCCACAGACACGACTGATGCTATAGAAGAACACTACAACACTTGCCACAGCCACGACTGATGCTATAGAAGAACACTACAACACTTGCCACAGACACGACTGATGCTATAGAAGAACACTACAACACTTGCCACAGACACGACTGATGCTATAGAAGAACACTACAACACTTGCCACAGACACGACTGATGCTATAGAAGAACACTACAACACTTGCCACAGACACGACTGATGCTATAGAAGAACACTACAACACTTGCCACAGACACGACTGATGCTATAGAAGAACACTACAACACTTGCCACAGACACGACTGATGCTATAGAAGAACACTACAACACTTGCCACAGACACGACTGATGCTATAGAAGAACACTACAACACTTGCCACAGACACAACTGATGCTATAGAAGAACACTACAACACTTGCCACAGACACGATTGATGCTATAGAAGAACACTACAACACTTGCCACAGACACGACTGATGCTATAGAAGAACACTACAACACTTGCCACAGACACGACTGATGCTATAGAAGAACACTACAACACTTGCCACAGACACGACTGATGCTATAGAAGAACACTACAACACTTGCCACAGACACGACTGATGCTATAGAAGAACACTACAACACTTGCCTTACACACGACTGATGCTATAGCAGAACACTACAACACTTGCCACAGACACGACTGATGCTATAGAAGAACACTACAACACTTGCCACAGACACGACTGATGCTATAGAAGAACACTACAACACTTGCCACAGACACGAATGATGCTATAGAAGAACACTACAACACTTGCCACAGACACGACTGATGCTATAGAAGAACACTACAACACTTGCCACAGACACGACTGATGCTATAGAAGAACACTACAACACTTGCCACAGACACGAATGATGCTATAGAAGAACACTACAACACTTGCCACAGACACGACTGATGCTATAGAAGAACACTACAACACTTGCCACAGACACGACTGATGCTATAGAAGAACACTACAACACTTGCCACAGACACGACTGATGCTATAGAAGAACACTACAACACTTGCCACAGACACGACTGATGCTATAGAAGAACACTACAACACTTGCCACAGACACGACTGATGCTATAGAAGAACACTACAACACTTGCCACAGACACGACTGATGCTATAGAAGAACACTACAACACTTGCCACAGCCACGACTGATGCTATAGAAGAACACTACAACACTTGCCACAGACACGACTGATGCTATAGAAGAACACTACAACACTTGCCACAGACACGACTGATGCTATAGAAGAACACTACAACACTTGCCACAGACACGACTGATGCTATAGAAGAACACTACAACACTTGCCACAGACACGACTGATGCTATAGAAGAACACTACAACACTTGCCACAGACACGAATGATGCTATAGAAGAACACTACAACACTTGCCACAGACACGACTGATGCTATAGAAGAACACTACAACACTTGCCACAGACACGACTGATGCTATAGAAGAACACTACAACACTTGCCACAGACACAACTGATGCTATAGAAGAACACTACAACACTTGCCACAGACACAACTGATGCTATAGAAGAACACTACAACACTTGCCACAGACACGACTGATGCTATAGAAGAACACTACAACACTTGCCACACACGACTGATGCTATAGAAGAACACTACAACACTTGCCAACTCGCGCATGCCTGAGGCAGGCGGCTCCACTATACTCCTGTACGAGTTGACGATTTGGAGGATCCGCTGCTTCTCCTCTGGGGTGAAGGTCGTTCTGTCGCCGATGTCCGTCCGGACAAAGTTTGGTACCGGCCGTCTGAAGATGTCCTCACGGGTGTAGGAGACTAACAAACAGGTGGCTGGAACCAAGATGGCCGCCGTGATGGCCAGGGTCAGGTACCGTGGGGTAGACATTCTTTAGCCTTCAGACACATTTTTTTTTTAATATTTAAAAATAATAAATACATACAAACTGTTATGATTACAAGCTTTTATAAATGCACTAAAAAGAAGAAAATAATACAATTTTTATTAAATATAAATCTGCGGTTACTTTAAATATAAAAAAAATACTTTCTTTAAATATATTAATGCACTACTATTTATATCACTACAGCGGCCCACGCTTTTATTTATAGTTATATAAATAATATTTGATTAGGGTTGTAAAGAAACAAGACTACATTAAAGGGAAGTAATTAAGTGATGATATATAATATTTACAAGTTACATTCTTCTTTCCCTTAGATAGATATCTACTAGTTTCTACGGGGACTAATTTTATAATAAAAGGTTGGAGATTTACGGTTAGATTCTGGAAGAAAATATCAAAATAAAATCTACGGGGGACACTTTCAATCTTTGGAGTATCCCTACCATATACCTCGCTTGAAAATTAACCCTAACCCCAACACCAACCCCACGGCAAGATCCTGTCACTAGATTAACCTTAACGCCTTAGTCCGAACTGTGATACAGGCAGATAGAAACAGCGGCATAGAGCTACTGCCGTTTTATAGACCGCAGACAATTTGATCTTTGTGTAGGCCACAATCATTCCGCCATTAATTAACAACTTCTCGTCGCTAACGTCATTTAGAATAAAAAAAATTTACAAAAAAACCCCTCAATTTCTATTCATGTAACAATTAACGTGATTCGGTAATTGGCCGGCGGTTACATTTTTTGCCCAGCGCTGAGTATGATTGTATCGACGTTAGCCTTACAAAAATATAACCCGACCATTAACCCCAAGCACCCAAGGCTGGGAATAAATTAATGTAGCCGTGTGAAATGGATATGATATTTGCCAGCCTGCGGGAACTGGGGGAGAGGAATGGTACAGCGGGGTGCAGACCATAGCTTTATGCATATCGTATGAGTGACGTGTATGTTTTGAGGCGGGGGAGGGGGGAGTCACGTGACACCCTAAAATCAAGTAATTAAATATTTAATTTAAAAGTCAAAGCTTTGTAACGCCGTTCTATTAAATCGGTTGAGATGGTTGACTATTTATAAACTTTTATTTAGTTCACAATGTCTGTTGGTGGGAAAACGTTCCATTTAAATTCGTCTCCGTTGACAAAGCAAGAAAATCTAATTTTTAATCTAATTTGCTCATTAAAATTTAATCAAGAGATTACTAAATTCAATAAACAAGTGGAGAAGACAGGATAAAATACTAGAGATCGCTTTAACAGCTGACGACACACTCACTTTTTGACAGAGCGTCGACCACGATTAAAAAGGACCGATAGTTGTCTTTCAATGACTGCAAGCCACTGATCGGGTTTCAAAGCAAATATTTTTAGTCGTGACCTAAATGGTGCCAACCTTATTTAGAACGACGTACTAATAAACCGGTAGTGATCTCCCCTAAACTTTCTCGAATATTCTTATATAAAACAACAGGGGATGGTAACTGGGGATATAGTTATGATTTTTAATCCATTTTAAATACTTAAACTTTTAAAAATAGAATAGAATCTCATAAAAAAAACATTGCGCACCAAGCAAACGCCGAATAAAAACGCGTATAATAGTGCGCAATATTATTAGTACTTTAAAAATTTACATTAGTTTTTTGAGAAATCGGAAGTAGCGTAAATTACTACTTCCAGTCAACGGAAATTACTCAAAATTTAACAGAAGGTAGAAAATTAGATCTTTTACTTACATGTGAAATTTCATTTATCTATCTGAAATAGTACTCAAGTTATAGGCTTTTGAAAAATTCAAAGTAGGAAAAGTACCACTTCCGGTTATCGGAAATCGCTCAAAAGTTGATACGGATCTACGATTTTGATAAAATACTTATATATGAAATTTCATCAACCTAGCTGTAACGGTACTCAAGTTATCGTGTTTACACACGGACAGACAGACACACACACACAGACATACGGACAAGATTGCAAAATTATGTTTTTCCGTATCAGTGAGGTGTAAAACGTCGAGATTTGTAAAAATCTCGATTTTTTTTTTTTGCACGATTACAATACTTTCTCTATACTACGTATATACGAGAAAGTAAAAAGTGGAAAATATAGAACGACTTACTAAAAAGTGGAAAATATAGAACGACTTACTAAATAAACCGGGAGTGATCTCCCCTAAACTTTCTCGAATATTCTTATATAAAGTAACAGGGGATGGGAACTCGGGCTATAGACATGATTTTTAATCCATTTTAAATACTTAAAGTTTTAAAAATAGAATAAAATCTCGTAGACAAATTAATTGCACACCAATTGAACGCGAAATAAAAAAGCGCATAATAGTGCGCAATATTATTATTACTTTTAAAATTTACATTAGTTTTTTGAGAAATCGGAAGTAGCGTAAAGTACTACTTCCAGTCAACGGAAATGACTCAAAATTTAATAGAAGGTAGAGAATTAGATCTTTTACTTACGTATGAAATTTCATTTATCTATCTGAAATAGTACTCAAGTTATAGGCTTTTGAAAAATTCAAAGTAGGAAAAGTACCACTTCCGGTTATCGGAAATCGCTCAAAAGTTGATACGGATCTACGATTTTGATAAAATACTTATATATGAAATTTCATCAACCTAGCTGTAACGGTACTCAAGTTATCGTGTTTACACACGGACAGACAAACACACGGACAGACACACACACACACAGACATACGGACAAGATTGCAAAATTATGTTTTTCCGTATCAGTGAGGTGTAAAACGTCGAGATTTGTAAAAATCTCGATTTTTTTTTTTGCACGATTACAATACTTTCTCTATACTACGTATATACGAGAAAGTAAAAATGGAAAATATAGAACGACGTACTAAAAAGTGGAAAATATAGAACGACTTACTAAAAAGTGGAAAATATAGAACGACTTACTAAAAAGTTGAAAATATAGAACGACTTACTAAAAAGTGGAAAATATAGAACGACTTACTAAAAAGTGGAAAATATAGAACGACTTACTAAAAAATGGAAAATATAGAACGACGTACTAAAAAGTGGAAAATATAGAACGACTTACTAAAAAGTGGAAAATATAGAACGACTTACTAAAAAGTGGAAAATATAGAACGACTTACTAAAAAGTGGAAAATATAGAACGACTTATTAAAAAGTGGAAAATAAAACAAACATGAAACTATTTTAAATAAGCTTTTAAAAGCACTGAAAATAAGAAAATAAAACTAATTTGTTTCCTTTAATAATATAATTTGTCGTTAAAATATGTAAGAGTTTGGTCGCTAAAATATGTAAGAGTTTGGTCGCTAAAATATGTAAGCAATATCATGAGCGACTGAAGCTTTTACTTTTAAAAGTTTGTTTTATTTTCTTACTAGCCGTCCCGGTCAGGCCCTGCACTGGCATCTCTGAAAAACCTATCTGTAAAAGACCATAACTTGTGTGTTTAGTAATCAGCATAAACCCGGCATTGCCCACCTTAACCACAACCAACCAAAACACACAAAAAACGCAAACATAACACTAACACAAAACAAACACAAACGAAAAAACAAAAACAAACGCAAAGACAAACCCAACCACAAACACTAAGAAAACACAAACACTAACGCAAACAAAAAAGCAAACGAAAACAAATCCAAACGCAAACACAAACCCAACCACAACCAAACGAAACCAAAACACACCAAAAAAAAAACAACAACAACGCAAACATAACACAAACACAAATACAAACACAAACGAAAACGAAAACGAAAACACAAACACAACCACAAACATAAAGAAAACACAAACACAAAGAAAAAAGCAAACGAAAATACAAACGCAAAGTGTCCACAGTCTAGCCCGGGGCGCCTAATCGCACCATGACGACGTGCGGCGTAACCGCCTGATTCAACTTATTCATAGTATTTTGAACTCACTTACGCAATCGTAGGTACAATTGCGAACACGGGAAGGCCAGGGGCGCCAAATAGCACCCTGTCGGGGTGCCGGAGGACGCCCGGATTTGATTAACTTAAAGACTATAGTAATCTTTCTTATCCATAGTCTATCGCACTGTTTAAAACGAAATTATGCAGCATAGCGCTCACATGATAGCCAAGGGCGCCAAATTGAACCGTGCAGGGGCGCCGGAGGACGCGCCTGTTTCAATTTAGCGAACACAATTATAATACTGCAAGCTTATCCGTAAATGGAAAGAAATAAACATATAGGATTTGTATGACCTGTCTTATTAAATGTTATTGATTTTAAAAAAAATAATTAGTAAACAGTATGTTCAGTGTATAGAATAAATAAAAGGCCGTATTAAAAATACCAACGACATTGCACTTAACCAATCCCCGCTAATTATGTAATTATTTTTTTTCCTAACACCAAAACAAAGTAATAAAAAGTAAATTCTTTCTTCCCCCGATTCAATGGTTTTTTTTAAAGGGAAGTAACTGTGTTTTCCAAATCAAGGGACGTTATGAGAACTAAAGGACGAAATGCAAATACATCTCAGACACAATTTTAGAAATTTCATAAAAGTTGATACTCTTTTTTTTTAAATTTTATGTAATGTTCATAATTGAAAATTATTATTCTAAGTATATAAAATGAAAATTGTTTTAAAGACTTTCAATAGTAATTTTTAAACTCATAAATTTAGACCCTGAGCGCTTTAATAATCTAACACTTGAATCCATCGAGTTTCGTTTTTTTCGTTTTTGTTATATACCTTTGTAATCCTCGATTACAAACATTTTACAAACATTTTACAAACAAACATACAGAATTGAACTTTATATATATTAGATTGTCAGTGCATTTAAAGTGTTAAGCCGACTTTACTTTCCCCGAAGTAAGTCAGGTACCCAAAAGAGCTGGCTGGACCAGTAGCGTAGCGAGGGGGTCGGGGGGCGGGGGGGGGGGGGCATATGTCCCCGGGCGCCGGGAAGGGTCGCTAGGCCTCTGGGCTGAACTCAGTGACGTCTTTCAGTCACAAGTCCGAACCGTGATCCAACTCTAGACTTTCGGGCTAGCAGTAAATTGCTCTACATTTCGACCACGCCGTCCCATTTTATTATATTTATTATATCTAAATGAGATTTAAAACTTTAAAAAAAATTGTCCTTAAACGACAACTAGATACATTCATTCAATCCATTTCCATGTTTGATTGATTGAAGAATGGCAAGAAGCTTAACTTTGAGTTAAGAGTTTGGAGCAGTGTTTCTTCCCGGCATCTCTTCCCCACCCCCTAAAATATCAAGTGTCCCCCGGAGAAAAAAGTCTGGAAGAAACACTTGTTTAGAGGGACGTCCCTAAACGTCACTACTAGGAGGTGTGGTGGGGGTGGGGTGGTGGGGGTGGGGGGGGGGTGGTGGGGTGAGTCGGAATTGAGAAGGAGGAGGTTAGAATGGGGATGGTGGGGGGGGGGGGGGTCGGAAAGTGTGACGCCACTTTTTCGCATTTTAAAAAGTAATGTTAAAAATATTTAGCCCGTATGTCGCATTTTTAAAATACTTTTTTTTTAAAAAATTCCAATAAAAATTAATCTTTAGAGGCCTATTCAATGTTGATCAGGTTCAGTTAATAAGTTTTAAGGAAATCCCTGTTTTGAGAAGACAAGAATTCCAACTTTGAATGAAGTAATAAATGGAATGTGACGTACTTAAAGAGGGCAGGGGCAATTTAAAAATTGTTTTAAAAACGTGAAAAAAAGACTCCTTAACTGTAAGCTACCGTCAGGTGAGGTAATTGAGCTGTCAGGTACAATTATGACGGTCTATTGAAGCAGGTATTTATAAGATAAATGACTTACCCGGTAGTCTATAGCGCTGGTGTCAGTGTACCGCGGGACTCCTGTGTTTAGTAGTTTGCTGCTCACTCACCAACTAGCGACTGCTTGTGTGCTCTATCTTGACATCTATTTAAGTACTCACATCGACCGGTAATTAGGACATACGTCATAACAACTGGGTAGATTTTTTTTTCTCCTGATGTCGCTTGCACATGGAGCTGCAGACATTCATAGTGACGGTGCATCATTAGGCTGGTGTGTGTGTGTGCAATTATGTGTGTGTGTGTGCATTTATGTTTGTGTGCATGCGTGTGCGTTTGTGTGTGCGTGCGTGGGTGTGCATGGGTGTGTGCGTGTGCATTTATGTGTGTGTGTGCGTGTATGTATGTGTGTGCATGCGTTTTGTGTGTGTGCGCGCATTCGCGTGTGAGTGTGCGTTTATGTGTACGTGCGTGAGTGTGCGTGCGTGCGTGTCTGGATGCGTGTGTGTGTGCATGTGTATGCGCGTGTCTTCGTGCGTGTATGTGCGTGAGTGTGTGAGTGTGTGTAAAGTAATTTGTTATAGAACTCTCTACCTACCCGCCACTTAAAAAATAATGTGCTTACAATAATGTGCTTTAATACAATTATTAAAATAAAATGACCAGCCTTCATCTGTTTGTAAGATCTCAATATTTGAAGGGATTGTGTGGTTTGCTGGACATATGGCAGTTTTTTGAGGTACGATAGTCTTGAATTAAGTGGCTCAATGTCTAACTGTGAGCAGGTTATTTTGTTTCAGTTTTAATATTAGCAAACAGATAGCCATTTTGGTTTGCTATAATTTGAATGCAATAGTTCATACCTTGCCTGTTCGATATGCTTCTATTTCAACAAAGAACGAATCATTCCACATGACTTGAGATAAAAGTGCCCTGAACCCTGCCCATTGTCCCTGGACTCATGGTGTGCATCCCAGTTTGTATTTCACTGATAGATTGAGCATTACCAATAGTTACAGTTGAATGTGTTCTGTTCCATCAACAGCACATGAACATTGAGACTTGATTAGTTTGATCTGGTAACAGCAGTTTTATTTTATCATAGCGTATTTCTGAACGAAGACAAACGTAGTTGTTCCGTGTGTTATTTCATTATTAAAATTTATATCTTTTACTTGTATGTAAAATTTTCATTTATCTATCCAAACAAGTTAATAAAAAGTCTAGTGACAATTTAAGCGCAATTTCCTTAATTAACATGCGTCAAGTAGACGTTACCTCTCACTAGCGACTGTCTGAGCCGGTGTGCTTGGTTTGGAACTTCACCGCTTCGCTTCTTCTAGTGGTGAGACGCGAAGGGATGACGGTGGTAGAAATATTTGTATATTCTTAGTAATCTTAGCCAATAATACAAATTAGAAGAGATTAATTTTTTGTGACCGAACGAAAGGATATGTTTGAAAACTTTCTTTGGCAATATTGTTCTAAATTATGGCAGGAATCCATTGGTAAATGTTTCAAGTCGCTAAGTGGTCTGGTTGCCGAGACATGGGCCAAAAACTGATTTTTTTCCAGGTTTTTTGACTTTTCCGGGAAATCCAGGAAGGAATTCCGGGAATTTTTTTGGCCTATGTTCATCCTCGGAACTTGCTTAACATATTTGCTTTGGAACTAGTCCTCGATATTGCTTCGTTGAGGAGGAGATACGATTTTGATAAAATACTTATATATAAAATTCCATCAATTTTAGCTGTAACGGTACTCAAGTTATCGTGTTTACACACACACACAGACATACGGACAAGATTGCAAAATTATGTTTTTCCGTATCAGTGGAGATTTGTAAAAATCGCGATTTTTTTTTGCACGATTACAAGACTTTCTCTATACTTCGTATATACGAGAAAGTAAAAAGAAAAGCAAGCTGAAATCAGAGTCAATGGTCTCAATGGCAGTTGACACGTATACTTAATTGTATTGGAGGGGATCCCTTCAAACACTAAAATTAAGATCGATGAAGAAGAGAAGAAGAAGAAGGTTAGATGTGTGTATCCAATTTACCCCTCATTGAACACAATTGACAGCTTTTTAAATTAGCAGTTTTGTAAATATCGGTGTCGAATGTTCCTATAAGTTATAAATAATCCGTTAATATCTTGAATGGTATGCTGATTAGGATATATATATATATATATATATATATATATATATATATATATATATATATATATATATATATAATCAGGGGCCCCCAAAAAGTTTCAGCCCGGGGCCCCGCCCAAGCTTAATCCGCCCCTGGATACGCCTCTGATACAACAAATGGTCGACCAGACAAAACAATTTTTTCCACACGCGTCCACTTTGGACAACCCCTCCTTCCCCACTCCCTGAACTGAACTTCCTCACAACAGTCCACTCAGACCTAATTTCTACAAAACTCATTCAAAAACATATTTTGTTTATGTATTACGCAATGATCAAATATAAACCCAAAACATGTGTTAGGGGGTATTTAGTTGTTCGCTGGAAGTGTTATCATCTGCTATCCCACTTCTGACACCAAATGTAAGGGGAGGGTTGTTTTGTTTTTAACCGATTAAAAGAGAGAGATGGTAAGATGGTATTGTTCTCTCAAATCCGTGCATTCCCTTATGAAACAGGGAAGGTTTACCAGACCTGAGCAAAACTAATTACTACATACAGTTTACAACATTAACATTAAGCTAAAAAATAAAAATTGGTAAACACACATAATATGCATTTATTTAACTTCATCCTACTTCACAAAAAATGTATTTTACATGCAAAAAAACAAAAGAATACAAATAAGACCTGGCCAGTCTTCATAATCAAGGAAACATCCCTTGAATTCTTAATACATGTAAAAAAAAAATAAATAAATCACATTTTTAGATACAACCACAATTTTATCCTTTCATGAATGTATACGAGTTCCTTACACGACCCAGTTCGTCACACACAAAAGGCAGGGTGATTCCCCAGCCACAAGGACAACATATCCGTCCTCCAAAACAAACATCTGGTCCAAGAACTCGACATTTGGCCAAAAGTACAATATCGGGCCACTGGAACGAGACATTTGGCCACTGGTCTCAACATCAGGTCACATATGTACAGGAACCAGGCGTTGGGCCGCTGGTGTAAACACCAGGCCATATCAACAATACCTCAGCTGGGCCAATAAGCCAGCCTTACTGGCCAGCTCTAAAGGCTGCCACCATCCGAGGCCTAGACCCTAGTGTCTAGCCTATGTGTGTGTGTCGAGAGAGAGAGAGAGAGAGAGAGACCTTACACAACCACCCTTCCTCATTTATAGGCTGTGCAACCAAACTTTTTCCCATCCTTTCAAACCACATGCATGACCCGATCTGACACAGGTCCCATAACTTAAACGAGGCGACCGTTGGGGAGACAGGGCATTAAATTGAAACACAAAGCATGCACACACCTAGGGTCCGGTCAAGCTGATCTACGGCCACAGTCCACGACTGTGACCGCTCGTAAATTTACCTGGTGACACCCCAAGCAGATCAGCGTGTGTGAGACTCGAACGCCATCTCGTGAGAAGGGATGGGGGACATTAGCACCAGCCAGCTACTACCCAACACAATAAAAATATAACCACAAAAAAAACAAGCAACCTATTTACACGAATAAAATAACCAACTAATAATAGAGTACCAGCTAACACATGCATAGATTTACTCTCCTCGGAACTAGGAGCCTATCTGGTTTCTTTATTAGTCGCTTGGTACAGAGGTACGATGTTTAAAATTAACCACACCATGATTTAATGACATGCTCAGCTGTTGTGTTTAAAAGTTAAACCTGAGCACAGAAGATTAAACCTATGCATTTAGCATACTAATTACATGTTTGGTGTTAGTTTTGTAGATGAGTAGGTCTATATCGATGTAGATTTAACATACGGATGTCAACATCCATATTTACGCCACTGTTCCCTACCTAGTGACGCCACTGTTTCCTACCTAGTGAAGCCACTATTTCATAGACCCCTCGGTATATATATAAAAAGTATGAGGGGGGGGGGGGGGTGCAAATCGAAAGTTTGAGGGGGGGGGGTGCAAATCGAAAGTTTGAGGGGGGGGGGGTGCAAATCAAAAGTTTGAGGGGGGGTGCAAATCGAAAGTTTGTCCCCGGGTAAAAATTGGAACCCCCCCCCCCTGAGACGATCCTGGCTACGCCACTGTACCTAGTGCAGCAACTGTTCCCTACAGTTTCTCACGACTCCTCGCGTCTGGCGTGGTGCAGCAAAACCTCCACCCCACCCAGCACTTCTACACTACCCCCCCCCATCCTTTCCGGACAATAATTCATGCAATACTCACATTAATTACTTAATTAGCATAGGTTAACGAGCTCAATCTCCTTTTATGGAATGTTAACGAGGTGCATATCTGTAGGTCAGTGTGGGATTGAGATACCTAGAATCCAATCAATTTTTTTCATTGCTTCTAATACATTCATCCCGTCTAACCCTAATACTAATAGAATACCGTTTTTTTTAATACCCTAAAATCTATGGTATACCGTTTACTCTCAAATCTATGATGTACCGTTGACTAATTTATACCTAATTGAACTTTGTACAAGAGAGCTAACCTCACTCAAAGGAGTATTAAAATATCTTGATGATCTTACCTTAGTTAATTAATTGTATGGCATTATTTTTACCGTCGGTGAAATTCGCCGCATATGGCGACCATTATGATGCTACTTGATGTATGCTGTTAATGGGGGGATTGTAAGTATTGTGACCCTATTTAAGACTATGGGTGGTGAAGGCAGGGGGTCAGGGGGGACGGGGCAGGGGGGCAGGGGGTGGGGGTTGAATGTGGAGCAGGCAGGGTGTGTTAGACACCGGAAATAAAAGTTGTTAAAGCTATTGCTAAAGGTCATATATACATATATATATATATATATATATATATATATATATATATATATATATATATGCATCATTATTTAACAACCATTTAAAAACTTGAACCCTCCACACAAAACTAAGACGTAATATTAAGCGTTATTAAAAGCAGTCTATTTTTAAACCAATTAGGTTTCATCCACTTGATGTCAGAGTGTAAACAAGCTGTTTTGTCTGGTCTAGTTGTGCTTTCATAATACTAGACATGTGTGCGTGCTCATCATGTGCCCGTGCTGCAGTGGCGGAACTAGACAAAAAGGGCCACCCTGCAAATAAAATGTCTGCCCCCCCATAATATATATATATATATATATATATATATATATATATATATATATATATATATATATATATATATATATATATTTATATTTATATTTATATATATATATATATATATATATATATATATATATATATATATATATATATATATATATATATATATATACAAACACAGAATACAAACATTGGATACTCATTTCTGGCCTGATCGAGTTTTCAATTTAAACAAATTACAACATGTCATGTATGTGAGTGTATTAGTCTGTTTTGAATTATTTATTTTTTAAAATTGAGAACTAGTTTATTCAATATGTTTGCCTACCCTCTATTTTTTTAGTCGGTCAAAAGAATATAATTTATAAAATGTGAAAGCTCTGTATGTGTAGTGGTTTCTCGTGTTATGTTTTATTTTTTATGTTTTTTGTATTTATATTATTTGCTTTAAATATAGAATCTATTTCCTTTTTATGCTAAGTCATTCTTTAGTTGTTTTTTTTTAAAATAATAACTAAGAGAAGTAATTGCTTTTTAATTCGTTTAGTACAAATATATTACAAGGTGCTTATGAGTACCCCTATTTAACTATTTAAAAAAGGGAAATAAGTCTTGGAAGTGTTTTGAACGTTTGCCTATCTTTCACACAACAGCTCAGGCATATTTTTTTTTACGCAACAGCATGTTGTATACTGTATAACATCACTACTGTAGTAGATCTGTTTGTTGTTTACAAAAGCTTTTATCGTCAAGTCAAGAATGCAAGCAAATTATTTTTTTTTAACTATAAAATTTTTATTATGGTCGGCTATGAGCCCCTAAATGGCATGCCCCCCCCCCCCCCCTGCATTGCGGGGTCTGGCGGCACTGTAGTTCCGCCCCTGCTGTGCTGATGTACTTGTATTTTTGATATGCTTGTATTTTTGATGTACTTGTATTTTTGATATGCTTGTATTTTTGATGTGCTTGTATTTTTGATATGCTTATATTTTTGATGTGCTTGTATTTTTGATATGCTTATATTTTTGATGTGCTTGTATTTTTTATGTGCTTGTATTTTTTATATGCTTGTATTTTTGATGTGCTTGTATTTTTGATATGCTTATATTTTTGATGTGCTTGTATTTTTGATATGCTTATATTTTTGATGTGCTTGTATTTTTGATGTGCTTGTATTTTTGATGTGCTTGTATTTTTGATGTGCTTGTATTTTTGATGTGCTTGTATTATTGATAAGCTTATATTTTTGATGTGCTTGTATTTTTGATGTGCTTGTATTTTTGATGTGCTTGTATTATTGATATGCTTATATTTTTGATGTGCTTGTATTTTTGATATGCTTATATTTTTGATGTGCTTGTATTTTTGATGTGCTTGTATTTTTGATGTGCTTGTATTATTGATATGCTTATATTTTTGATGTGCTTGTATTTTTGATGTGCTAGTGTTGTTGATGTGACAGTGTTGTTAATTTGTCAGGCGTGACACATCAACTGTCAAATTCACAACAAAGGCAACTGCTCTTTTGTCGTATAGGTATGGACGGGGTGGCCTGAGCTCAAGGCTGTGAATTCAAAAGTCTCAGGTTTAGATCTCAGGGCTAAAGACATCCCTGAGTCCACCCAGCTATAAAGGGTACCTGACTCACACTAGAGAAACTTGTTGGATCTCAGGGCTAAAGACAATAAAACATCCCTGAGTCCACCCAGCTATAAAGGGTACCTGACTCACACTAGAGAAACTTGTTGGATCTCAGGGCTAAAGACAATAAAACATCCCTGAGTCCACCCAGCTCTAAAGGGTACCTGACTCTCACTAGAGAACCTTGTTGGATCTCAGGGCTAAAGACAATAAAACATCCCTGAGTCCACCCAGCTCTAAAGGGTACCTGACTCTCACTAGAGAACCTTGTTGGGCATTGTGATGACTACAGTATCCACCTAGGTCATTGAAGTAGATGAAATCTACGTCATCTGCCCTATGACTCATGAGTCTTGGGCACACAAAAAAAGGTTATGATCATATATCTACGTCTGAAATACCTAATTCTGTAGCTTGGTAGTCAGATATAAAAACACACATTGAAACAGAGAAACAGGTGTAATGGATAAACAAAATATTTATTTGTGTTATCCTCACATAGTTTAGCCACCTTTTGCGTACATAAAATGTAATGGCAATAGATTTATAGATGGCTCAAAACCACATTACTAGTGTGAAAACAATCCTCATTTACAAATAAAAATGTAAGCGTATAATAAATAAAAACTGTTTCTCAATTAACCTCATAATTAGTAATTTACACTTAAGTAGATTTTAACAATATATCGCACTGTAAAATTTTTTAGATAAGTGTATGTGATATAAAACTATACAGCTGAAGTTGACTATACATATATTTAACAGAAATGTCTAGAAGTTAACATAAACTTGACACAAACATGCTGTATCACAACACAAAAGTTCAAGTTAGGTAAAAAAAAAAAAATCTTCCTGACAGTGTCAACAATTTTGTTAGTTTTCAGTCTAAGGGAGGTAACCTGGTTTATTTTATTTTTTTATCATTTTTATTTCCCCTTTAAACATATTTTCCACAAATAACTTTAACATTTAACACCATGTTTACAAGAATATTTTATACAAGACATCAATCAACTTTAGTCATTTTCACCCCCTGCACTGGTGTCTTGGTCTGGTGGAGCATCTTCCCCATCATCTTGTTCTGTCTTGTCCCCGTCCTGAGGTCAAACATTTGCATTTGTGTACTACATTTACATTAACAATGTTCTAATTTTATACTGCTAGCTTAAAATTTTTATTAAACATTTGCATTTGAGTACTACATTTACATTAACAATGTTCTAATTTTATACTGCTAGCTTAAAATTTTTATTAAACATTTGCATTTGAGTACTACATTTACATTAACAATGTTCTTATTTTATACTGCTTGCTGCATGACTTTATTAACAACAGTCTTAATTTAATACTACATGTTATAATTTTTTATTAACAACAATTAAATTTTATTCTGCTTGCTAAAACTTTTGGTTAGGACATTCTAAGTTTATACTGCTAGCTAAAAAGAAGCATATTTTATTATCTTGCACTGCAAAAGTTAAACATTTTACACAAGTGTATTCCACTAAAGTAAAAAAACAGCTATTTAAACCAAGTCACTTCAATCGACTGTGTTGAGCAGTTAAACAAAAAGTAATACATCAGCAGGGCAAGCTACTTTTACAAAGGTTGCATTAAAAAACTAATTACTAATTAATGTGTCAACATTTTATAAAGAAAAGCCTTACTGTATAATGTGGTAGAACTTAAAAATGAGAAACCAGATAACAACCCAATTAACCTTTAACCTACCTGTTCATTAGAGTCTCCTTCTGTTTCATCCTCTTTTGTTTCATCATCATCCTTAACCTCTGTGCTGGCATCAGGTTGTGGGTCATCCCCTGGGTCTTCCTGGGTGGGAGGGTCAACAACTGGCTCATCCTTCTCTTCTACCATAGGTAGTTTGGACGCTGACGCAGCTTCTCTTTCTCTTCTCTCCTTCTCTGCCTGATAAAAAACAAAACTATATTTATCTTACAAGCAAACTTATGTGATTCATAACAAAACAATTACAGTTTTTTTACTATCATTTATAACTACAAATTAAAACCTACATTTATGATACTGAAGAATGAACAATGATCATTGTATGAAATAACTGCGTAGGCCTGAACACTATGTAAATACTATGTAATAAAATGAGAATGTAACAAAATGAAAATGTAACCAAATGAGAATGTAACAAAATGAAAATGTAACCAAATGAGAATGTAACAAAATGAAAATGTAACCAAATGAGAATGTAACCAAATGAGAATGTAACCAAATGAGAATATAACCAAATGAGAATGTAACCAAATGAGAATGTAACCAAATGAGAATGTAACAAAATGAGAATGTAACCAAATGAGAATGTGACCAAATGAGAATGTAACCAAATGAGAATGTAACAAGATCAGAATGTAACAAAATGAGAATGTAACCAAATGAGAATGTAACCAAATGAGGATATTTACCAATTGTCTCTCAGCATCCTCCTCTGCAAGCCTCCTGGCTTCCTCCAGTCTCTGAGCCCTTCTCTCCTGCTCCAACACCTCCAGCTCCTTTTCTCTCTGCAGCTGTTTAGCCTCCTCTTCTTTCTGTCAACACAAACAAACATACATACAAACAAACAAACAAACATACAAACAAACAAACAAACCATGGATTTTTTTTACTTTGCTTTAACCAATCAATACATGATTATTAGCACCTGTAATTTATGTCTAAGGTGAACAGTGAACCTAAGTCAATGTTATTCTCTCTCACTGTCACACTCTTTTATTTGGTCATTTTTGGCTCTCTATACAACTGATGTACCATAGGGAAAGGCATTACTTGTATAACTTGGCATCAATGCTTAGTATAAAGAAAAAAAGTTTTTCTCCCAACCAAGATGCCATCCATTGACCTGGGGTTTTCCGCCAGGATTTTTCTGCCTCCCCAATTGCCTGGTTTGGATGTGAGGGGCAGTTCAGTCAGGGGTCAACTTGGTCTTGAGTCAGGGTTTCCAAACTCATAGCTTTTAGGTTAGCAAGTGCATGGTCTACTGAAACACCACCTGGTCCCCTGGTCAATATTATTAGATGTCCTAGTTCTTATTTGAGAAAAAGCTCCATGCAACACAGCTTATGCCACATTGTATAGGTAACAGCTTTCCCTATGGGTTGCAGCTGTGTGTAGAGTGATACACTGATAAGGGCCTAATGCCTTGTTTTCCAGTCACAATCATCCTATCATCTATGGCGTCATATAGTTATGATCTCATAGGGTAATGTGATTTTTTTACCTGTGGTCTAAGTGCCTCATTTACTCATGAAGGTCATATGATTTTTTACCTGTAGCCTAAGTGTTTCGTTCTCAATGTGTTTCTGTAACCAGAAGGCTATGTACTCAATAGGGTCATGTGGTCGTACTTCAGCTACCTCTGTCAGGCACGGCACCAAACAGGCCAGGTGTGTTTTCAGGTAGTCAGTTTCCATGGTTTTGCTATCATTTATTCCAGACAAGAAAATATTCTATTAAAACATTTTTTAATTGATTTCATCCAAGTGAAAATAAATTTGTTTGTGATCTTTCAGTGGGGCTCTCCAAAAAATGCTAAAGTATTTGTGTTTTGTGAGCCCTATTAGATTTTAGTTTATTAGTTAATAAAACATTTAATTTAGGCCTATTTAGGGCTCATAGTGTTGTATAAAAAAATATTTGGCCTAATATTGATATTATTATATTAAATTTTTTATTTTGAAACCATATAGCCTAGACTTTATAGACCTACTAGACTAGGCTATTGAAAATTAGGCCTATAGATTTAGATCTAGAAATAGAATCTAGACCTAGGTCCTAGAACTAATAAAAAATATTTTAATTATATTTTCAACTGAAAGGAAAGAAAACAGTACAAACAGCAAATAAAATAGGGGGAAAAAAACTACTGAAAATACTTGGGGGGCCTACATTACTTGGACTATTTAATAAAACATCAACGTAAGGAAACCATAAAAATTAAAAATTAAATTTAAAAGTTACCTTGTGTTTTACAGAATTTTTTTTAGTGATATTTTTGTTCTTTCTAACAGCAAAATCTTCACTTAATACATCGTACCCTGTTTTAGCCCTCAAACATCAATAGACGGAAGTTGACAATGACTCCATGACAACATTGCGATCGCTCGGGCAGTGAACCGCAAGTTTACGTGTTAGCCGCAAGTACACGAAAGGGAACGTACATTTCTAATTGTTGCTGTGCCTGTGTTGGCTGTTAATGTTGGTGAGGCTGGAGAGTAGCAGTAAGCGATGTTATCTTTTAATATTTAACTTGTTTTGTTATTCTTTTAAATTCTTTTATTTATAATTGTATAAATTAAGATAGTATATAGGGAGCCTAGACCTAAGGCTAGACCAAGCTAATCAGGTTACACGAGTTTCAATCATTTTATTTTAGATATAGGCCTAAATGATAGCCTACAAGTGTAATAGATCTATAACAATTTAAACATATATTTAAATAATTGAAGCTATTTTTTATACGAATCAACTTTTTAATTACGTTTGTTGGGGGGGGGGGGGGGTGGGTAATGGTAGGGACAGACATTTAATTTCGTTTGGGGAGCGTCATTTTTTTTTTGCATCACACACACACACACACACACACACACACACACACACACACACACACACACACACACACACGCGCGCGCAAACACACACATACACCCACACACACACATATATATATATATATATATATATATATATATATATATATATATATATATATATATATATATATATATATATATATATATATATATATATATATATATATCCTTATAACACGCACACTCAGGCCTATATATGCACATAGGCTGCACACACACACACACACAAACACACAGAGAGTCACTTGAAACGACACTGATTCGGGGGGGGGGGGGGGGGGGGGGGCGACACAAAATGCACAGCCAACATTTTATCGGCTAAAACAGACCTAGGCCCTTTGTCTAGTAAAATCATAAACTTGAACAGTTTTAAAATCCATACTGTCTACAATACATAACATGCATTAGGTATTTAGCATAATCAATAATTGATCGGCTATCGATAATAAATTCAAACCTTGCCAACTCAGCTTGTGATTACGTCACGAGGTTATATGCTCGTGGACTGATCAAATATTGATGTTGTTTTTCTCATGCGAGCATTGTGTTTGTGGGCGTGGGAACAAAGGCTCCGGGCACCTTGGGGTAGGGGTGACGAGGGCGCTGTATGGCGTCAAATTAGGGCGCCAGACTTTGGCGCAGTGCCAAACTACAAGTTGGTCCAACATAACAGCTGTTTGCTGTCATGTTGGACGTGGTCAGATGTATGTCGACAGAAGACGTACATAACGTTATTTTACGTTGTGTATGATAGCACGTCATATAGATCCAAACTTAGTATGGGTGGCATTTTTTATGACGTCGCGCTCTTTTTACCCCCCGCCCCCAATCTTTTTATTAACGACGGTCCATAATAAGACGTCAACCTTGTGTCAATATTTTCGAATTTTTTTTTAAAGGGCAGACAACCCAGATACCAAGATGATGGACATTCGCGTCAGCTGCGATCTGTTTACAGGTGGGTACTCCAATTTGTTTGTATTTTAGCTTCTACCTGCATTTGTAACCTCTAGTCTGCTCTAGATCAATAAATTACACCCAAATAAAACACAACAACCAGTAACACGTATACTGCAGCGTCAATCATTCTATCAACACCCGCTGTCTTCATTCTGTGAGGGATGTGGTGGTTGTAGGCCTCACACAAATCTATTGCCTGTGGGGTGGGGGAATCAAATGCCTCACATCCCACCCATCCCTTGACACACATGGCGCTAGAGCTGATAGATTTCCCTAATGTTTTCAATCCCTTCCTCTCCTCCACCCACCCCGACGGACAAACTTGTTCCCACCCCACACAGACACCTCCCCCTTCCCCCCCCCCCCACAGACACACTTCCTCCCACCCCACACAGACACCCCTAACCCCACCCCCACCCCCCACTAAAGCCAGAACTGCAATGCCCGAATCCCTACACGAGGGCTTCCATGCCCGGGTGTTGACCTCTGCCCCCCCCCCCCCAGTAACATAAAACTATTTGGTTTGGATTTGCACTTTCCTCCAGCTATTGTGGACTAAACTGGACGGTAAAATCGATAATTCTCCAATTAGGTAAAAAGGGTCTTGGTGTCAAAACTGTTAGGCCGACATTAGAGCCCCTCCCCCCCTAGTCCCCCCCCCCCACACACACACACTTATCACTTGATAGAATTTACAGGCACGTAGTCTTTGATTCAGCAGTCTACACACTCAGGCAGGCGCCAACATCTGTGTAGATCTATGTGTTCAATGGGACAAGACCATGGCTGGAGAAATTTTACACACGACTGGACAGGGGGAATAGGGCAATACATCGTCAAAGTGTACAGCTAAAGCACCATACTTGCTGCTTAATACTTCGTCAAAGTGTACAGCTAAAGTACCATACTTGCTGCTTAATACATTGTCAAATTCCGTTGATTTATTTCTTAAGAAAGGGGTGGCTATTCTTTAGACATTCTCTAAAACTATATATATATATATATATATATATATATATATATATATATATATATATATATATATATATATATATATATATATATATATATATATATATATATATATATATATATATATATATATATATATATATATATATATATATATACAAATATATATATATATATATATATATATATATATATATATATATATATATATATATATATATATATATAATTAGGAAAGAGATGCATCAGTGCTAGTCGATTGCATGAGACACTTGCATGTAAAGAGCAGGTTCAGTTAAGGCCTACTGTCCACATAATGCCGACCTCCCTCACACCCCACAACCTGGTTCCTCCACTCAAACCTGGCACCCCCTCACTAGACTTCTGCCCTCGATGTTGACACCCTCCGAAATTTACACCCCCTCCCCCAATCATGACACCCCGTTTCAATCTTACACTCTCATTGAACATTGCAACCCCCTCCCCATCGACCTTGACTGCTCCTCTCGGAATTAGCACCCCCACCCCCAGTCATGACACCCCTCCCAAACATGACGCTCCCTCTTTCCCCCCCCCCCCCCCCCCGAACGTGGTCAACGAAGCTACGTGGATCTAGAGTTCTTTAAGTACGACTTTTGCCTTCATCGCCCAAGTAAAATACATAAACAAAACGAATGTAATTGTGTTTATTAGCCGCATGGCAACTGTAGATCAAAAACTGAAGTCTTGTATTCTGGTAACATTACATCTAAGTCTTGCTAGAGATCACAACTTGTTTTCATTCTCATTGTGGACTATATTTATACCAAGATGACGTCATTAAAATGTGTAGGGACTAAAGAAAAATAAACAAGTACATCCGGTTCAAGTAGCGTCTCCAGCTATTGTAAACACTAGCCAGAGGTTAGTTCACGGTTTGTCAAGATGAACAATCAGCCCAGACAAGACTTCGATGTCTATCGACCCAGAGCAGAATATTTCGACACCTGTCCCCCTAAAAATTATGGTATTTGTTTGTCCAAGTTTTTTTAGACGGTACTTTTACATTAGCCGTCCTGCCATGATAACCTATAGGACGAGACCAGCAGTTGCGTCCAGGCATCTCTTCGAAGAAAGTCTACCGCCCCCCCCCCCCCCCCCCCCCCAAAAAAAAAAACCCGAACTACAAGGAATGTATATAGAAAACATATACTTTTATATTCTGCTAGACGGGACTGTTTCTAAACTAATGCGATTTGCAAAAATACCTCATATTTGTTTACAAACAAATGTTTTACAAACAAATGTTGCACACAGATCGCAGTGCTTCTAACGTTAAACTTGTTCTTGATTTGTTTGAAAAGCTACATATTTATTTACTTAGTTTAGCTAACTTTGAGTCTACTTCCCATAACTACGCCATTATCTCTCGCCTAGTCGAGGAGGCTCTGCTATTACGGTCAGTGTCCGGCCTTACAATCTGCCATCTTAGCCGCTGACACTCATTGACCCTGATTCTGTCACCATGGCTCAATGTGACACTGTATCCTGAGGCCGGACATTGCACACTGCCACCCGTCCGTTAATGGTCATTAGGTTCCACGTCATATTGATTTGGATGGCCCTGTATAAAGCCTAATAATCTTGACCCTGAAGTCAGGAAGGCGTGAATCGTTTCCGGTCTGACCGCCACCAGTTCCCCCATGTAAAGCCTAATGTCCTTGACCCTGAAGGCGTGAATCGCTTCCGGTCTGACCGCCACCAGTTCCCCCATGTAAAGCCTGATGTCTTTGACCCTCAGGTCCTGAAGGTGTGAGGGACTACCGGGCCCACCGTGTGGACGACCCCCGGGCTGTGGGTATCGGGGAGACCTCGCCCCTACAGAGCCTGGACTCCGGCTATGTGCTGCGCCCCGCCCCGGGCGCCACGCTAGAGACGCCCCGGTCGACCAGGCCCGGGGAGATAGGGTGGGGCATCCCCTGGCTGGTGGACTGGCAGCCCCCGAAAACTGGACAACAGATTGTCGTAAGTGGTCAAGTTTGGCCGGGGGTTGTGTGGTTGGATGTGGGGTGGGACCCTCTTTAAAGCTAATTGGGGGTGGGGGGTGGGGTGGGTTTAGTCAACAAGCTAACTGGTGAGTTCCGTTGCATGGTTGATAACCTAATTGGTGGGTTTCTGTTTATATTAATCGGTGGGTTCCTGTTTATATTTAACAGGCTATATAGTGGGTTCCTGTAAATAAAATGATTTTTTAACTAGTTTCACAAAGGGGACTGTAGTTAAAATGTTTTAATGTTGTCTAAGAGCAAACTTCAAATAATTTCAGATGGGCGATTGCAGACAGCTGGCAGAGGACAGGGCAACACACGACTATCTGGGAGCTTGGTAGGACATTTTGTGTAGGACATTGTGTGCAGGATTTTAGGACTTTTTGTGTAGGACATTTTGTGTAGGACATTTTGAGCAGAACATTTTGAGTAGGAAATTTTGTGTAGGACATTTTGTGTAGGACATTTTGACCAGAACATTTTATGTAGGACTTTTTGAGCAGAAAAATTTGAGTAGGACATTTTGGGCAGGACATTTTGTGCAGGACGTTTTGTGCAGGACATTTTGTGTAAGATTTTAGGACTTTTTGTGTAAAACATTTTGTATAGGAGATTGTGAGCATAACATTTTGTGGACATTTTGTGTAGGACATTTTGTGTAGGACATTTTGTGTAGGACATTTTGTGTAAGACATTTTGTGTAGGACATTTTGTGTAGGACATTTTGTGCAGGATTTTATTACTTTTTGTGTAATTCATGTAACGTTTACTGAGTGTCCTAGGTAGGACATTTTGTGTGGTCCATGTAAAGTTGCTGGCATGACTTGTCCTAGGTAGGACATTTTGTGTGGCTCATGTAACGTTTACTGAGTGTCGTAGGTAGGACATTTTGTGTGGCTCATGTAACGTTTACTGAGTGTCGTAGGTAGGACATTTTGTGTGGCTCATGTAACGTTTACTGAGTGTCGTAGGTAGGACATTTTGTGTGGCTCATGTAACGTTTACTGAGTGTCGTAGGTAGGACATTTTGTGTGGTTCATGTAAGGTTGCTGGCATGACTTGTTCATTGGGTAAAGGTTCCATTTGTTGATGTAGACTGTGTACTGTCACCATGGTGATACCAAACACATGTAACGATTACGTTGGTCAGTCCTGTTTCCTGTCCCGTTTACCCAGCCTATCAAGGTAGCATTGAGTCGTGGACAGATATCCCATGGATTTCCTTTATGTCACATGATGTACTGACATGTCATTTGGCAGACATGGCCTTATGACACACTGCCCTACGTACCTAAGTTTGACATCTAGAGGTAACTCACCAACCTCACCTTAACCATTCTGAGCATCTGTAACGTAACCCAACTGCCGTCACAGGTACCCTAACCCTAACGACCGTCAGCAGAATGGCAGTCAGCAAGGCAGCAAAGGTAGAGTCAGCTCACACAGGGAGTCGACGTCTAGACGCTCCTCTAGTTCTGTTACGTTCAAAGACACTGACGCCACTGGTCACCATGACGACCGTAGAAGTGTTGACAACAGTTCCCTGGCCAGGTGAGTGCTGCAGTAGAGGTTTATCTGGCATATCTGGCTAGGTGGGTTAGTGGAGTTATTAAGTTGAATAGTGTCTAGTCTAAGAAGCAATGCGATTTAGTGTTAGAGAAACGGCTTTTGTGAGTGTATGTGTGTGGGTCGACGTGTGTGTGTTTGGGTCGGCTTGTGTTGGCGGGGGGGGGGGGGGGGTCGGCGTGTGTGTGTGGGGGGGGGGGGGGGGGGTCAGCGTGTGTGTGTGTGTAGGAGGGAGTGGCTGTGTGTCGTCGATTGGTGTGTTTATGTCAGTGGTTGCATATGTGGGTGTAGCACTATTATTTAACTAGGAAGGGAGGTTAGAGTGGTGACCTCAGTAGCCCACAGTTAGAGTGGTGACCTCAGTAGCCCACAGTTAGAGTGGTGACCTCAGTAGCCCACAGTTAGAGTGGTGACCTCAGTAGCCCAGAGTTAGAGTGGTGACCTCAGTAGCCCACAGTTAGAGTGGTGACCTCAGTAGCCCACAGTTAGAATGGTGACCTCAGTAGCCCAGAGTTAGAGTGGTGACCTCAGTAGCCCAGAGTTAGAGTGGTGACCTCAGTAGCCCACAGTTAGAGTGGTGACCTCAGTAGCCCACAGTTAGAGTGGTGACCTCAGTAGCCCACAGTTAGAGTGGTGACCTCAGTAGCCCACAGTTAGAGTGGTGACCTCAGTAGCCCACAGTTAGAGTGGTGACCTCAGTAGCCCACAGTTAGAGTGGTGACCTCAGTAGCCCACAGTTAGAGTGGTGACCTCAGTAGCCCACAGTTAGAGTGGTGACCTCAGTAGCTCACAGTTAGAGTGGTGACCTCAGTAGCCCACAGTTAGAGTGGTGACCTCAGTAGCCCACAGTTAGAGTGGTGACCTCAGTAGCCCACAGTTAGAGTGGTGACCTCAGATGTTGGTTATAAATCATAATAAATGACATTAAAATATATCTGGGTATGGACTTAATAAGTTATCTCCTAGTGCTAGTGTGACATGAACTGCCGTCTGCCACACGAGGTAGGTCAACATCAGTTGGTTGAAGTGGAGGGGTGAAATTGAATTAAAGGTACCAGGTATTCTCAGTCCTAATAAACCCGGAAGTGTAAGGTAAATACGAGGACAGATTCTATAAATCGAACAACGTGTGAATATTGCTGATATTTCCTTTAAACAATTTCATTCCAAAAGCTCTAAGTTGTATTGAATTTTGTTTCTAGTTATTTTTGTCTGTTCATTTTCTTTGTTCGTTTTGAAGTTACCTCTCATTAATTTAATTGAACTTTAAGAGACACCCCAAATGGTGTAATAATATAAATGAGTGGTTAACTTTTTTTTCATAAGGATTAGATATGACACAAGTGTTGTTCGATAAAATTATGTAAATGTTGGCTTGATAGTTGGGGAAGTAGAGATCAATGTATAAAGTGTGCGTCTATCTAATAAGTTTTAAAGGAACAGAACAAAATAAATTAATGACCTTACTCTAACATACATGTATAGGTCATTGATTTTACTCTAACATGCATTTATAGGTCAGTGACCTTACTCTAACATACAGTTATAGGTCAGTGACCTTGCTCTAACAGTTTTAGGTCAATGACCTTGTATTACATACATTTATAGGTCAATGACCTTGTTTAACATACAGTTATAGGTCAGTGACCTTGCTCTAACATACAATTATAGATTAATGACCTTGTCTAATATATATTTGTAGGTCAATGACCTTGCTATAACAACACTCCTCATTCACTCCCCAGTTCAAGACACACATAGCCGTCTACTGTGATCTGGTGCTGGACCGGCCGATGTGTCAACACACGGGTGCTACACACTACACACTGGCACTACACACTACACACTGGCACTACACACTACACACTGGCACTACACACTTTGGAGACTGACGTCCGCCCAGCTGTGTCATATTTACATCAGTATTATTTGATTTGATTACAATTACAGTGACCTGAATAAAGTCATTGGTGATCATTTTTGCCTCGTTCTTTGTATTCTCCATCTCATGGTTGTGAAAAAAATGACATTGATGTCTTGACGTCACTTGTTGATTATTGTTCTTCCTTCATCGTCAGTGATGTCACAAAAGCCACACATTAAGTTACTGAATAATGAAATAACTTTGACAGCTAGGACAGCGTACTGTCACGGATGTACACACAAGACAACAATCGGACCGTAGCCTGGGGCGCTATATTCAGTGTGTGTGTTGGGGCGGAGGGGGGGGGGTCACAAACAAGAAAACAAAACAAACAGGCCATCTAAATGTGCAGTTAAAAAAAAGTGTTTGCATCTCATAGTGTTGTACATGTTACTTTAAATTTATTTTTTAAAGGTAAAATACAATTCACAATACCACAGCAAGATAATGTGACATTTACAGATACCTAAAAAAAAACCGGGCTCCTCTGTATAAGTAAAGAGCCGTATGATAAATTGTACAAACCACCCCACTCTCGATAGGCTATAGAACATAAGTAATGCCTGGCTGACTTCAGGATCCGTTGTTTTCTTTTTATAAATGGCTTGATTAAAACATAACACGAAACATCTTGCCTTGAGTGTAAAAATGTTCATTAACGAATGCCTTTAGACGGTAAGGGGGTCGTCCATACATGACGTCATATAAGTGTGGGGGAGGGGGGGGGGCGTAATTTTGTGACGGTGTGTGATGAGGGGGAGGGGTGTTCAGATGTTGTGACGTCACACTTTTTTGCTTTATAAAAGAAAAGAATGCTAGATAACGATTTTAGCCGTTATTTTGCGTTTTAGAAAACTGTTATAATAAATTGTAATATAAATATAAATTGATTAAAATTCTCGTTGTCGACAGTTCAGACAAGATTTTGGAAAAATATCAATGTTTTCAGAAAACGGCAATTTTGAGGGAGGTGGGGGGGGGGGGTTATATACTGAAGTGTGACGTCATTTTAGGGAGAGGGGTGGAGTGGGGTCTGGTTTTTTTGTGTCGATATGTGACAGAGGGGGGGGGGGGGAGGAAACATAATTAAAACAAGCGTGGTTGACCCTTTACACAATAATTTTGGCAATCTCGTTTGTCTAGACGGTGATCGATCTACTATAGTCGATATTAACAAAAAACAGACGGCCATTTAATGATTTAAAGGGAAAATTCCTGATTGGCTGTGGTGAAATTCTACACCGAAATGATTCTGTCACGTGATCTGATATGATGCTCTTCTATGGGCACACTCTACGCCAGTGTAAACATTGGCTAATGCCTACAATAAAAGGATGAAACAAACAGCTACAAACATCGGCTAAAGCCTCCAATAAAAGGATGAAAGACACAGATACAAACTTTGGCTAATGCCTCCAATAAATGGATGAAACAAACAGTTACAAACATCGGCTAATGCCTCCAATAAAATGATGAAATAAACAGCTACAAACATTGGCTAAAGCATCCAATAAAAGGTTGAAACAAACAGCTACAAACATTGGCTAATGCCTCCAATAAAATGATGAAACAAACAGCTACAAACATTGGCTAATGCCTCCAATAAAAGGATGAAACTAACAGCTACAAACATTGGCTAAAGCATCCAATAAAAGGTTGAAACAAACAGCTACAAACATTGGCTAAAGCATCCAATAAAAGGTTGAAACAAACAGCTACAAACATTGGCTAATGCCTCCAATAAAAGGATGAAAAAAACAGCTTCAAACATTGGCTAATGCCTCCAATAAAAGGATGAAAAAAAACAGCTACAAACATTGGCTAATGCCTCCAATAAAAGGATGAAACAAACAGCTACAAACATCGGCTATGCCTACAATATCAGGATGAAACAAACATCTACAAACATTGGCTAATGCCTCCAATAAAAGGATGAAACAAACATCTACAAACATTGGCTAAAGCCTCCAATAAATGGATGAAACAAACAGCTTCAAACATTGGCTAATGCCTCCAATAAAAGGATGACACAAACAGCTACAAACATTGGCTAATGCCTCCAATAAAAGGATGAAACAAACAGCTTCAAACATTGGCTAATGCCTACAATATCAGGATGAAACTAACAGCTTCAAACATCGGGTTTTATCTGAGATCAACTCGGTCGGTGTCAGCAGCTCTAGCTGACATTTATGATGAGTGGCATTCACTAGATGACATCATCTGTCATTCATAATGGGTGTTATCTGGCATTCCCAGGATGGTGTCATCGGTCATTCACTAGGTGATGTCATCAGACATTCACGGTGTGTTGTCCTTTATTCACCAGATGGTGTCATGCGACGTCCAAACGATTGTGTCACCCGTGTTACCACCACACACCTTCAATGCTCAGTATCCTTCTTTACTATTAGAATGTGGACAGACCATTGTCATGGATAGATTTGTTAGTATCCAAACCCTAATCCTCTAACTAGTCTAACCTCCGCCCTGAATCTAATCTAATCCTTACACTATCGTCAATTGTAACCTAGACCCTAACAACGATACAGGCAGATGCGATAATGATTTACCCGGCAGGCGGTTTACAAGGTCCTAGCTTATCAATGGGAGGGTGGAGCTTATCCGTGGGAGGGTGGACGGCATGAATGAAAGGCCACATTGTCTAGCGCTGACACCGCGTGAAGCAGGGGTTCACGCCTGTCTGTCTACTGACCACTGGGTCCGTGTCATGATGACCACTTGTCCAGTTCCTGATGACCACTTACAACGTGTCTATGAATGAAACACGTGACTAACGGCCGGCGACTCTGTTAGATCCACTGGTCACGTGGTATATCATTTGATTGTCCGCCCTTGATCAGGGCTGCTTCACTCTCCCCCGGGGCACAGCCGACGTGGTTTGGCGGCTAAAAATTACAATATATTTCCAGGCGTGTTTATTTCATCTGATCATTTTCGTTATGTTTGTTAGAACTAAATGGGGTACTAAAATCACCTTGTAATGTTTAGTCTTTTCGAAAATTAATATTTTAAATTTTAGTTTGGAGCGGTGGGGTCGAGTGGTAGGGCGCACCAACACATTCGAGGCTGGAGCTGGTTCATGAGCTCCCGGCTATGATGGGTACCTGGCTCAAGTTGGGACTTGTAGAGGTAGTTGGTGGGCACGTTAGTTAATTGATAAATACCATATTAATGCATGATTTTCAACAGACTAATTACAGTTTTCTAATATAGATTTAATTGGTGCCATGCGTTCAAATACATTTTACAGAATACAATTTTAAAAAATGTTGTGACAACATGGTGTATGTGTAGTTAGTTTAGCCCCATGTAATTTAAAGCTAACAAGGTTATAGTAAACAATGAACTGATACTCCCGAAATACAAGCCAGATTCTAACTAGTAAATGTGGAGTGCAATGGAGGAGAAGAAATCTTGTACGCTAGCGGTAGGAAAATGTTAAAATCAATTCTACGGCTTGAACTTCCCAACACGTTGGATGTGACGTTAAGGTACCAGTGTCCAACTAGCCGGAAAATGTACCTTAGTATCAGCGCAGTCGTGTGGTTGTTTATTGACCACTGGTCAGTAGAAGATTCTTGGCTGACCACTGGTCAGTCGCGTGGTTCTTTGTTGACCACTGGTCAGTAGAAGATTCTTGGCTGACCACTGGTCAGTCGCGTGGTTCTTTGTTGACCACTGGTTAGTAGAAGATTCTTGGTTGACCACTGTATTTAGATACTGAAATCTTTTAACTTAAAAAAAAACTTTTTTCAAGTAAACAAAGAGTTGCAATTTAGCACATAAAAGATCAAATAAAAATACGATGAAAAGAAAGCATACAATGCATTACCTAGGTCTATACCATACGTAAAAAATCAAATTCCCCCCCCCCCCCTGATCAGATAAACTCCAGCGCATATTCGGGTACTCCCCCATGTACGGGAAGGGAGTGGATGTGAGGGGGTGGGGGGGGGGGTTAGAAAACAAATACCCAAACCACCGGCCTCATTTGGCTGCGGATGGGAATATGGCGACACGATGAATTCCGGTAAGATGGCCTATATTTGCGTATATGTGCGTGTGTGTGTGTGTGTGTGTGTGTGTGTGTAAAACAGTATGAAACCAACACATAATGTGGATCTGGATGATATGAAGAGTTGCAATGAACGTAAATAACATAAAATGATGGCTGAGATATACAATCTTCAAGGACTAACATGGAAACTACGACAACAATAATTCTTGTTTATTGATCCATTAAGAACGTCTCGTTTTGGTTTAAGTACCGCCACATGTGGATATTGTTTTAGCTTGATGCAATAAAAAAATCTGGTGACGGTTCTAAATACAGCTGTGTCTAAGCATTACTCTACTGCACCATAATGACTTGGGTTTAGCCAAACAGCAGGGGGTTCATATGCATTAAAACCTGGCAATGTTTTTATTTTATTAGAGGCTAAATGGCTTAAGTGGCACGCTCGTCCGTGTCAAAAGAACAAATAGATTTATAATGTCATATGTAACACATTGAAGGGCACATCGTGTCATCGTTTAATTATAGTACACTGTGGGGACATGTAACAATTTTGTAATGAATTTTGGCATGTAAATATCACTACATGAAATATTGAACAAGAATTTTTTTGATGATATTGCTTAAAGGACGAAAAATAAAACAAATAATGCCAAATGTCCACGTTACTATTGTTATTTTAACACATGCTACTAATTTACCTGTCTTTTTAACACTACTACTTTACCACCAACTCTTTAACATACATCTCTCCCCCCCCAACCCAGTATTTCTTTCAGGCACCCTCTTCCGGGGTGGGGGTGGGGTGGGGGGAGGGCACCGACCAAAATCGAAGTTACGTCCAATTTACACAAAAAAATATACTTTAACCAATGTCCGCCCCTCCCTCGAAAGTTTCAACCCCCCTCCCCCACCCGTCTGAAAGAAACACTGCCCCCCCCCCCCCCCGCCTGTCGACTCATCATATTATAAATTGTGTAAAAAACAAATATACTCGGAACAATATTTGTTTGAGT